CTGAACCCCCTATCAAACCTTCAACTAAAACACTGCCCAACTTCTGGGTCAGAGGACTACCATATTCCCTGACAACCTGTGGTACTGGTTTGTTTTAAGAGGGATCAAGACTTGTGTCTGTAGTTTTTGGCTGGGACTATTAAGACCACAAGACTCCCTCTATTCTCTGTCCCACTGACTGCCAGTAAGTGGTTCTTACCTTTTTCCACAAGGCTGCTGTTCAAGTGGCGAGCCTCTGTGCTGTGCCCTGCTCCTGGAAATAGTGGGACTTGTTGAAGGATCTTGCTACAGAGATTACACCAAAAAGCAGCTATCAGGCTGAAACAGCAACTCAGCATTTTCCTTTTTTACTTTCTTCTGACAGGAAAGCAAGTATAAATGCTCTTGTCAAAAACAGATGAGAGGAACTGAATTAATTTTACATAAAATTAGCTGTTATAGGAGAGAAGAAAACACTGCTTGAAAGAAAACAGTGCTCAAAAATCTTGGCAAGTTCATTACAGTGAAATTTTAAACATAGCTGATGATTCTTATTTATGTAAGAAAACTCACACGATGTCTGCTCAGTATTTTCAGTCATCTGAAGACTATTTTATCTGCCTTTCTCCTGACGTGCAATAATTAATCCAATAGTATTGATATCCCTCCAACATTAGAGGGATTTCTCATGCCATGTAGTCCCCATGTATATAATAGGACTATGTATTGTTATGAATGATAAAAGTCCTAAATTGAGATGAATTTATCTACCAACAGCACTATGTGCATCTGTGAAGGCAGGATGCCCAGAGATCATTAACACATCTCTGAACTGACTTTCCAATCTTCATGTGCCAGAGGAGGTGCATTACTACCCAGTCCCGAGTAAAACATTTACCATCTCAACATGGTGTTATCTCTTAAAATGATAAAACTACAAACCTAGTTAATATTTGTAATTGTTTTAGTTACCTTTGCTATCAAACTCAGCTGACAGCAAATGTAAAATTGCATATACTTTTCAAACTGATGAAAACCACCTGATACAAAAACCTAAATGTAAATTAAAAGGGCAGCAATAAAGGCTGTCATATTTTAAATAAAAGTATGAGTGAGGTTCTATGATGGTCTTAATGCTCTTCTGAGTAGCAAAAATTGAGACAGCAAAGTGCCTGTAAAAGTATATCTAATTGCTTAAAGCTCATTTAAAATTCATTATCAATTAACAGGTACCACTTTAAGACATCAGCACATTAAAAATTTCCTGGGAAGAGAAAATCAATTTTTCTTGCAACAGATAAGCAAAAGAGGCTTAGAGTTCAGTAACCAAATTTCTTCAAGGTGTCTGTTCAGTCTTTGGGCAACTATGCATCACAAGCTGTGGCAGATGCTCTAACCTCCAAAGGCTACTCCATCTTGGTAGACTTAAAGACACCTCCCATTTGTTGCAGAGACTACTTTGAACCTCTCCACAACTGAACACACAACCTCACAGATCATTTGAAAGGCTCAACAGGTGAATATACCAAGGCCTTTTCGCATTCTTAATTTGCAGTCAGGTTTATCTCCTGTAGATCTGAGCCTAGTGAAAGGAAAACAGGTTAAATTTTCTGCTTCAAGTTAAAGTCACAGTGGTAAAGAGTTATCCAGAATAGGCCTGCTAGGACATGATCTAGAGCAAGAGGACTATACAGTGTCTTTATCTTTCTAGCTGTGCTATGGCCAGGATGAAAACCACCACCGCGTCAAGGTGCAGTATAAGGCACACAGCTAGCTGAGTTACCTTCAGCAAAGCAATTCAAACAGATCCAGATTCAACTCCCATTAGAGCTCCATCTGGGAATGATGTGGGAACAGTAACCAAGCCCAGCAAAACCACAAAACTATTAATTAAGTGAACCTAAGTCAAGGAGCTTCCATCAAGAGGTTAACAGGCAGACATTATCTCTAGGCAGACTTTGATGAAACTAAACTTTAGTGAGAACAAAATGCAGAATACCAGCAACGGAGGCACAAACTTCTGCTCAAAATGCCAGACAGAAAGCTCTTCTGTTTGGCCTAATAGAACCTTATTGCCAAAAAGCATTTTCTTTAGCAGTGAGGGTGGTGCTGAAGCAAAGCAAGAGTTCCACATATTCTGTAACTACAGTTCTTACCTTACAGCAGGAGGAGTGGAAGGAACCTCATCAATGGACTTTATATTAAGAGTCTTGGCACCTGAACAGCCATATTTTATGGTACAAGAAGAAAAAAAAAAAACAAAACAGTAGTATCTATAAAGTTATCAACCATATAGATCATATAGTCTGCCGTACTACTAGAAATGAGCAGACCTGTTTCTGGATTTCAGTTCAGGATTCCCATTAAAGCAGGTTCAGGAGAGAATGGTCTCTACAACTTGAAGGATACCCAGAGGAAGAAAAAAAAAAAAAGATGTTCCAAGATGTAGCATAGGTTGAAGGACAGAAAGTAACAGAAGAATAAAAAAAAGGTACATTAAGCTAAGGGTGACAGGCAAATGAGATCTAGTTTGAAGAAGAACACAGCTAGAGTAGATGTTCCAACTCCAGGTAGATGACTGTGAAAGAAACTGAGGGAGTGGTGTATGATTTGACCTTCCATGTTTCAGCACAAGAAAAAGTAAATTACAGTTTTTCAGCCCTCTTCCATGATGTTAAATCTATAAACATTTCTTGTCTCCAGTGTCTGTGGAACACAATCACCCAGAGCTTGAATTGGATGATATTCTGAAATGAAAATGTTTAATAATTTTACATTTTTGAAACTAATTGACACAAACTCCTAAGAAAATTATAATAATTTAAGATAAGTGACAAAGAACTACGTAGGAATAACTAACTGCACATTTCTTTAATCATCATTTATTTGTTTAAAAAATATAAAAGTAATTCATAGCTTCAAAAATAGACTTTTGACACTCTTAGCTAATAATAATAGGATTTAACAATGGGCTTGAAAATACTAATGTTACAGAATTTTACAAGTTAGATAGCATACCTGTAAGTACTTTTAATGTATTTTTATTATTCATGTGATAATAACAGCTTTTGGGTTTTATAATTATTTAATTTTTTTTAAATGAACTACAAGCTAGATAAGAACCATGAGCTACAAAAATCCTGATTTTTTTTTTTTTTTTTTTAATGGAGTACTGAAAGCCTATTTGCTTTTACATTTCATCTTAATTTAGTGCACAAAAATGTCATCACAGAGCTGGGTCAAATGCTTCCTTAAAGAGACAACCACAAGGTGATGAAAGGCTACTACTAAGGAAATATCTTTCTACACAATCAAGTTCATCACAACCCACCCTCCAACAATCATTTTACATTTCTTAGAAATGCCTAGGAAAGTATATGTGCCTTTTAACCTTCCTTGATGATTAACATACCAAAGATTTTAAAGATCTGAAGGGGGGGCAAGTTCCTCAGTAGAAAACCCATCATAGGAAAACTCCCCATCTCTAGTACATGGCAGGATTCAAGCAGCTGGGCCACCCAAAGGAGGTCACTGAAGGGACACGAGTGCTGCAGCTGGACTACAGCTGTCGTAGGGATGCTGTGAAGGTTCATTCCGGTGTGGCAAGTAATCTAGCAGCAGGGGGGTAACTGAAGTACTGTATAATAACATATAACAAATTTCAGTTGTGGTTTTTACTGTCATGTTAATGTAAAGATTTTATAAATATTAAACATTTTAATTCTTCTATAATTAAAATGCCAATTTCTACCAGTACAGGGAACATTTCATTGCTTGTAACCAGGTATCCATAGCAGGTTTGTATTCTTCCAAGTCCTTCTGGGGCTCAAAAACGGCTTCTATTCGCCTCAGCTTCTTTAGTTGTTCTTTGTCAGTCCAAAATCCTATAAACAGAAAGCTCATTCTCAAGCTCAACTGGAAGTATGTTATTTTTGAGTTGTTTTAATTTATTTCTAAGAGAACCAAAGCAGAAACACAGTAAGAAATCATGACAGCTTTTCTTTACTCAACCAACAACTTTCTCGGAGGGAAGCATATTTTTAACATGTGAAACTCCTTTCCAATAGCATCCACTTGTTTGGAATCCTGACAACAGCACATCTGCTTAACTGGGACGGTTTCCAAGGAACAGCTTTGGTACACTGACGTCCTCTTAGGTTTCATCCACACTGTGCTTTCTGCTGCAGGTCCCTCTCAATGAAGAAGGGCCACAGAAACAAAGACTTAGCACTAGTGGCTTTCCTACTGTCTTAAAATTGCACAAATGGCAGAAAACAGCTGGAGTTATGTACTCAGATTAATTGAGGTTATTGAATCATTCTTGTCTGTCAAGGGCTGCAGCTTTCTTACAGTTTTAATTGCTGAGTAAGTCTTACCTGAGCATACAGTTTTTATCTTCCAGTTGTGTTATTTATATAGCAAAGCAATGTAATGAAGTTAGTGGAAATATATTTTGTAGGTGGATATCAAGCAAAAACATGGACAGTTCGTAGTTTTAAGTCTGGTTAATTATATAAAACAATTCTGCATGAGTAGAGCGGGATTTTTTTTCCTGTTAATAATTTATTGTGTTTATTTCTGTGAAAACCTTAAAGAATAAAGACTCAGTTCACAGACGACAGGACACAGCTTCTGTAGGAATGACACCTTCCTTGTTACATGAACCATCCCCACTGAGCACAGCTCCAGGCAGCGCCAATATGGGAAAGGATGCAGTGTCCAGGTCAAGAAAGAGGGAGGTGGCAAAGATAAGGTTTGCCTCTTTCTTCTCCAGTAGTATATCCTTCTAAATGTAAATGAATCTTACAAACATATATGCAGATACTTTTCACATTAAACTCACTGTCACCATCCATTTATGTAAAACTAAACAAGTGTACAACTGCTCAGCAAATTGGGACATTGTGTTAGAAATACAATTAAGATCCTTGATTTGGTTTACATATGACGTTATCACCTGTTTCTTTGGTCCATCAAATACAAGTACCTGGGTACAAAGCACTATACAGAGAAACATATACTCTACTTACCCCGTATTCCCATAAAAATAGCTAAAGTTTGTGGAGTTTTTGCAATTATTTGAAGTTATGCACTGGGTTTTTTTCTGATTTTTTTTTCCTTATTTATACAAACATGCATTATGAAGGGAAAAGCAAAACCTCTTTAAATGGGTACATACCTGAAGCAAGGCCTGCTAGAAAAGCTGCACCAAGACTAGACATGTCTGCATTTGCAGGTTTTTCTATTCTCTTGTTAATTAAATCTGAAGTCATCTGCATGACAAAACTATTATTACTGACACCTCCATCAGCTCTATAGGGAGAGGGGAAGAAAAAGTAAAAACAAAACAAAACGAAAGTGTTTAGTTCAAATGCTTATTGCTAACATTTCAGAAAACAACTTCTGGGGTTTCACACCTGTGCATAAATCCTCCTGTCACTCATGCACAAATGCATTTCCATTTTATGGGCAAATTTAGATGCCAGCACAAAGTGCCTAGAAAAAACCAAACCAATGTCTCTAAACTGAGGGAGGAATGGTAGACAGATCGGGACACAGGACAGACGTATTACCGAAAGCTCTGTCTTCTGAAACTATACATCATCCTGGTTGAAATGTTAGGGTTTGTAACAGAACCTTTACGTAGTTATCACTACAACATGACAATAGTCAAAACCATTACATTAAACAAACCCTTTCAAGTGTTCTCAGATCTGGAAAGTACTTTTTTAATGACTACCAAATCTTTGTACTCCTTAGCTAAAATGCCTTCACAGTTGCTTCTTTTTATGAGGAAAACAAGAATGAGGCTTCCATCTCCCTATTTTCCTAATTGCATCATGTCAGAAACTCTTTTAATGGAGAAAACTAGAACTTATCAATGCAGATCTTTAATTATCTGAGTGGTGCAAATTAATCACTCTTGGCAAACAAAAAATAAATGTAACAAAAAGCAATCTTGGTATTGTCATAGATTGGTTTGTTTTGCTGTTGGACTCCAATACTAGACAGGTATGGACCTGCTGTTCTATCAAATGTGGTGCAGTAAAGACATCTACTGTTTGATACTATCACAGAATCACAGAATCACAGAATGTTGGGGATTGGAAGGGACCTCGAAAGATCATCTAGTCCAGTCCCCCTGCCAGAGCAGGAACCTAAACAATTTTACACAGGAAGGCGTCCAGGCGGGGCTTGAATGTCTCCAGAGAAGGAGACTCCACAACCTTCCAGGGCAGCCTGTTCCAGGGCTCTGTAACCCTCACTGTAAAGAAGTTTTTTCTCAAGTTTAAGCGGAACCTCCTGTGTTCCAGCTTACACCCACTGCCCCTTGTCCTATCGTTGGGCATCACTGAGAAGAGTCTGGCTCCATCCTCATGACATTTGCCCTTAACATATTTGTAAACATTAATTAGGTCTCCCCTCAGTCTCCTTTTTTCCAAGCTAAAGAGCCCCAGCTCCCTCAGCCTTTCCTCAGAAGGGAGATGCTCCACTCCCTTAATCATCTTTGTGGCTCTGCGCTGGACTCTCTCAAGCAGTTCCCTGTCCTTCTTGAACTGTGGGGCCCAGAACTGGACACAATATTCCAGATGCGGCCTCACCAGGGCAGAGTAGAGGGGGAGGAGAACCTCTCTTGACCTACTAACCACACCCCTTCTAATGCACCCCAGGATGCCGTTGGCCTTCCTGGCCACAAGGGCACAGTGCTGGCTCATGGTCATCCTGCTGTCCACCAGGACTCCCAGATCCCTAACTATAGAAAGTGTTGACATGCATTTTCCTTCTTCTGTACAAACAAGACATCTCTTCGATTCAAGTTACAAGGGGAAAAAAAGAAAGAAAATTTCCCAAATACTCATTTTACATTTAGCTAAATTTTGCTGCTAGATACTTTGAAGATTCAAACTGTACAGTACACCTTCTAGCTCAAAGTTCATACAGGCCATTTGGCTAGGGATGTGCTATTTCACACAAGTAAATAGGTGACATTCCAGGAATCCAGGGACCAGCAGAATCATCCTTGTAAAGGCTGTTGAAGACTGCTACCACACAGGACACGAGGAATAAAACTGAAGGTTCTTTCTCTGTGCTTTACTTGATGATGTTGAGACAAGCAAAGAGAAGTAGTAGGAATGTAGAGGACTCATGAAAACAATGACTTTGTATGAGCTTGTAGGAACCAGAGACTGGGAAGAAAGGAGGGATACAGGACAATAGCTAAAAAGAGAATGAGCATATTTATGGGATAAAGATGACAACAAAAAACCCAAAGGTAATGGACAGACACTAAAGGATGGGAGAGCAGTTTACAACCCTACTGAAAAAGCTATTAAGTCTATCTCCTAATGTTTAATCCACAAGCTGAATCACTACTGATTATAGTTAACTATTATAATCATCATATGAAACAGCAATTTTCTATTAATGAATAAAACAGAACATGATCATACAATTTAAAGTTTACATTACAATGTACATGGGATCAGAATGCTAATGTTCCCAAGGCAGTACTTCCAAACTTCCCATTTTTCAGTTTGCAGTAATATGACTTCTCAAATTTTGGACACAATTTTCTATGAAAAAAACCCAACTTCTTAAGGAATCAAAAATTCTAGTACTTTTGATCTTTTCCTCTTCATTAAAACCCCGAGCCTGGGTGTTCTTTCATCTTTGCCTACTCTGTCCCAGTACATGATGGAAGACAAACTTTTACCTCCTCTCAACTTCAACTTTCACCTTCCTTCCGCTACTCAAAATTCTGATTTCTCAACTGTTTACATGCCTGCCAGTCAGTCACTTCTTCCTTTGCATGGGTATCAGGAAAAAAGCCGCAAGAGGGACACCTCCTCTCTGTTCTTGGCCGTGGTATCACGGTGACCCCTGGCTGCCAGAAGGAGAAATTTTGGAGAGGTTTCTTAGCATGAGAGGGCTTGAGGCTCTAAGACAACTGGTGTGTCCAAACCACGTACCTACCGAAAGGTGCAACATAGTTTTCCAGCAACGCATAATTCGGCTAAATTTTATGAAGACGTTGTGAAAAGCATATTCTAGGGATCATGGTTACCTCATTGAGTTTGATTTGTTTCTTCAAAGACCAAAGCAAAACCAATGTCTTAACAACCGAATTGTAAAAAGTATTCTTCCCCTTTCCCTCATGGACATTCAGTTTTAACTGACATTTTCAAAAAATATTCAATCTGCGACAGACTAAGCACAAAAAATTTCAGTATGAAAGAACGATAATAAAGCGTAGCATGACCTTTGTGGTACACACTGCTATATGCACTTTAGTGCTACCTGAAAACATGAGTTTGCCTTTTTTTTTTTTTAAATAATTAGAGTAATTTATTACTCACCTACTGACAATCACCAATGCTAATAGTTAAATTAAGAACCAGCCCTTCTGTAGGTAGACTCTACTGCCACTTAAATTACATTAACATTTGACCTGGTAATAATCTGTTTTTCAGCAGCAGAATTTTTACAGTAAGATAAAATGGATAATAAAGTTCATACCTATTTAAAATCAAACTCCTATATATAAAATTTAAAAGTTATACAGAACTTACCGAATAGTTTGAAGAGGAATGCGTACCTTCTTCACAATGATATCATAAAGCTGTTTGTTTCTTTAAAAAAATATTTAGTTGCATTAAGTATTATATATTCCATTAAGTGTTTCCAGTATCTACATAGTCAGAAAATAAAATACAAGGCAAAAAATGCCTCAGTCGTGTTAGAACTGCTGCAGTAGCTAAAAAGTTTCCAGAATGCATAAATTAAAATAAATAAATTAAAAAAAAAAAGACTGAAACCGGTCTTTGTTATACATCATTAAAAAGGCACGAGTATGGCTAAATCACAGCCCATTCTATAGCAAGTTACTGCACAATGTACATTTTTGCCACCTGAAGCTACTGACAGGTTTCTACAGACAAGATGCAACTGTTGATGTAACAAGTGGTTTAGAGTGAGGAAAGTAGGCTGAGAGAGTGTTTAATCAGATTTTATGTTTTTGTTCTTCAAAGGGAACACCTGAAGGCTATAAGTTTGACTTGTTCTGAAACAATTTCATTTAATGGGAGAAAATGAAACACAAAGGATATCTACCCTTTTCTAGTTAGGTATTTGAATGAGATGAGATTCTTAACATCACTGTTTTTCAAAAGACCCATGCTTCAGTTCAGGAATTACTGCATCTCATGTTTCTCTTACAGCACAGAAAAAATAGTACTAGAAACAGTTGCAGCAATTCAGAATTTAACCTTCCTCTACACATGCTTTTTGCCTCTTTGCAGGAGGTTATTACGCCCAAACCAGAGCTGGTGACTAGATGGAAGGAATCATATGAGTGTTCCCTAACTGGCTACAGCACAGTGTAAGCCAGGCTCAAACCACATTCAGCTTGAGTTTGAGGCATGCTGGGTGGGTTTGCAAGCAGAATCAATCTGTTCCACAGTGAGCTACTGATGTGATTATCATCAGTGACTAGCAGGAATACCTTTAACCTTGACACTTAGATCTGGAAGTTGTTGTCCATTCACATCGTTGAAGATGTTTAAGATGCCTATTATTGTGTTTTACAAAACACCCAAATTTAAAGCGTTAGCCAAAGAGCTAGTATAAAGCTTCCAGCTTCAGGGATACTTTAAACACAGCTGGAGTGGGCTACAGCTTCTGACAGAACACTGTCAGGAGAGTAAGGACAAACTTTAAACAGAAAAGATTTTTAGAACATGAAGAAAACAATGTAATTTAAGAATCCCTACATGGTTACTTAATAACAAAAACTCTGAACTAATAAAGACATGAGTTTATTTGTAAAGCATTAAAGAAAAAAAAGGAAAGCAGCTAAAGCTCCTTTTCGATGTAGCAGTAATGGATTACTACAATTTAAATTTTTACAAACCGCAGAAATCCATGTATCCATTTAACACTGCTGATCAAAATAAAAACAAACATAAGAAAATATAAGCAAGATAATTAAGTAAGCAGTACCTGAAAGCTACAGATTCCAATATCGCTCGTACAAGATGGTTTCTGGTAGTGGAAGGTTTCAGCCCCGTGAAAGAGGCACATAAATATGGGTCATTCACAGAAACCTGCAGAAAAGATTTCACCATGAGTTCAGTGAATTGTATTTGTAGGCTTTTGAGAAAGAAGTGAAATAGGAAGACAAAAAAAATGACTTACGACAATTACAGGCAGCATAGTGAAAGGAGAAAATTGAAAACAATATGTAAGATGTATATAGTATTATTTTAGCTAACTCAGTGAACAGTTTAAATAGCTTCTTTCCACAGGAAAAAGGTTTAAGTGACTTCTTCCAAATCTGACATACTAAATAACACTTATCTGTAAGATTTCTCTTTAAAAGATATACAGTGGTACACTTTAAGTGTCAAGGACAGGGCACATTGATATTGCTGTTCTCCATCAAGATTTCACATACACTTTTTTTTTTAACGTTCTTGAACTGCTGAAAGATGAACTGGCTTTTAAAAGTAACACTGAAAAGGATGGTAATACTTTTTATTATTTCATACTGCAGCTTGTTCTCTCAGTGATACTGATAAACACAGTCCAACTAAAATTCTAATGGTCACTAAGTTGTCTTTTTTTTGCAGAACTGGAGGATTGATTCACGAATCTCCTCTTCACCCCTCCAGTGAACTTAATCACAAAATATTAGTTTGCTGGTCCATATCTGGTTTGTGACAATGTTAAATCTTATTTTCACTGTAGACAGTCATTTTTAAATGGAAACAATCCTTTCCAGTTGTATTGTGCTAAATATCAGTTATGATAACACTTACCAGGAGTTTTGAATTTCATGCTTATAAAATATATACACAGATAGAAAACGCTAACTTATGTTAAAAAAAAAAGTATAGGTACATGCAGCCAAAAGGAAAACTAGCATTTTGCAAAAGTTCCTAAACAGAAGAAACTTTTGCATTACAGTAAAAAAAAACCAAAAAACAAAAAACAAAAACCTCTTTTCTTCCATAGACAAGTACCCTTCTCATTCTATGAATAGAACCACTTGTCCAGCCCAGTAGCATAATAAAAGATTCATGGCTTCCAAGTTTACAGATACTCATATATTCTTATATATGAGTATATATAAGTATATATATAATAAACTAAAAAACATAGACTCATATTCTACATAAGGGTGAGTATCTTGAAAGAATCAATCATTAAAAAAAGGAAAACATAATAGTGCATGCATGCCAATAAAGTTGCTTGCTGTTACTACTACTAGAATTAGGAAAAAAGAGGCTTACTCAATGTTTACTAAGAAGCTAGCTGGAGTTCCTTCTGTAGAGTGTCAAGAAAGCAAGGAGGAGACAAACCCACAAAGCAAAACAAAAACCAGCCAATCAAAAAAGAAGTTTTACCAACGTCTCTAGAGCTTGAATATTAATAGAATTAAAGGCTGAAAAATAATTCAGATTAACATTTGTCTACTTCAGGATTCCTGTCTACAAATATTGAAATTTGACATGGCTCAACATTTGCTTATTCACAGCACAATTACTCACAGTAAATGCTAAACTGAAGCATCTCAGCATAATCAAGCTTTATATCCCTAAAAATAAATATAATTATTAGGTCAGCTGTTTGAGAGAAGGTGGCTTGGCTACCTGCAGAAGAAATGAAAATTTTTCTTCGCCTTGTTCCATTTCCACACACGACTTTCGCAAAAACTAAGGTTAAAGATGTTAAGTTTCTTTAGAAACAATACTAGTCCTGGGAATAATCAAAGTCAGTACAGTAGATCAATGAAGATCAAAAAAGCCCTAAAGAACTCTTGGACCCACACAGAGAGATAAGCTGTCAAAAACATTTCAAGTAGCTCTAAAATGTATGTATTTTAACTAACAAATTACTATCTAAGACTTCTAAGAGAAGGTGGTGACTTCTGAGCAAAAAAAGAATAATGTTTTCATCTTAACAGTTTTTCTTTGTTTGAGTAACACAGTAACTTTTGAACACCTGACAGATTCAAACATCAGTTGTCTATACATCACAGAACCAGCTGATGGCAGACATTACTCAACTCCCAGAGCACAGCAACAGCTTTCCCTTCATCTTGCCTGGTCCATCTGTCCCATATGGTTTGTAACGCTAATACTGCAAATAACGACTTGGTGACCAGGGCTACACCACAGAGTTTCTCCTGGACAGCAACACTCATCAGAAAAATAAAGCTTTGTACAGACATGGATATTTTCATGTTGAGAAGCCCACAATGCAGAAAGTGCTGCTGAAAGTGTGCTTTTAGTCTGATTATCTCATGTTGCTTAGGAAAGTGATGAAAAACTAGAGGAAAAAGTGTTGGGGCTCTGCATATTCCCTAAGCTGGCAACGGCTACATTAGCAAAATCTGTTATTTGCATTCTGTACAAAGGTTTGTCCAATAGCTCTGACTTGCAGCTCTGTCATATTTTGTGGTGACAAATTACAAACTATTATTACCATCTGTCAAACCCTTACTGGAAACAACTGCTCTGTAGCTGACCAGGCAGCACGTCAGCTCCACAGCCATCACAATTTGCCATTTAATATAATGTATTATCTGGAATTCCCATCAATTCCAAGTTAGACTAATATGCCTGACTGAACTGCAGCATCAGTATCACCCTGTTGCTGCCTCTGCACAGGGACAGCAACTCATACTTGTAACAAAATTAAAGAGGGATCATGAATCAGAGGCGTAAAAGATAGGCATGAAGACACAGAAGTCCCTAGCATAGATGTAAAGCAAGTAGAAACAACCTGGAGGGGATCAAGTCACTGCAGGAAGTTTCTCAAATAGAGTGGAATATAAAAGCAAGCTACTGGGAAACAGAGGGGACTAAAATGGAGAACAAATGCCAGGAACTCCTTACTATGCACATTGTGCTCAACAACAAGGCACAAACCCTATTTTAAAGGGAAAAATCTAATTCAGATTAAAATCTGCATATCAAAGAAGTGTCTAAATATTACTATCTTTGCTTTTCATAACATCAGGACTTGCATAGATTTAAGTTCATTTAAGTACTCTGATGAATTTCAACCTACATCTTGAAAAAAGGTAGAATAAAATGAATTATTTTAGAATAGTGCTTAGAAGTATTGTCTCAATTAAGGCTCTCTGCATGAGGCAGAAAAGTTATGGGATTGTTTTCTGTCTCTGTAGGCACTGCCTGAGTTACGGTGGGCAAGTCACTTAAATGATCTGTCCCCTAGATCTCCCATCTACAAAATGGAAGGAATTTTCCTATTTCACAGGGTTTTTCTCAAGGGGGATGGAGTTTTAGCATTCTGATATGACGGTGATCTTTGTATGTTGTGGTGAAGGACAGAGAATAAGAATCTTAGCAGTACTGAATAAATACTGTGATAAGATGTAGATTACTACATTTAAACATGTAAAAGTTGGTTTTTAACTGGGTTATTAAAAATATATTTTCTATTATATTAATAATAATAATTTTACCTGAAAACCTGGAACAAAACAAACGCCTTGAGAATCAACAATACTCCGTGCCATTTTTGCTGTTTCATCTACATTGGTGAAAAGATCTGTAAAGATGCATAATCATACACTTTTATTATTTACTTCAATTTCTTTATATAATACTAAGAGACAAAAATCTAGAGTTAGAATATTTCCTTTTGTAATGTTCTTGAACTACATATTCTAAGTGAAACAATCACTTCTCCTGTACTTCATGTCCATCAGTCACATTAAAAAAAAAAAATCCTATTCAGATGAAGACTAAATTCAAAAGGATCCTCTCCCATCTGTTATGCTACACCCTTTTAATCTTCACATCCTGTAAGACATAAATGGGAATTATGTGCTAACAATGGCACCCCAAGTATACCAAAAACCTAGATGTGCAAAACATAAAACATGTTTTTCCCCAAAGATGATGTTTTTGTCAGCCCAAGCACCAAATGACTACAGAGAAAGTCCTTGATACCCATTATATTTTATCAGCACCCTGAATATTTTTACAAGTGACTGACACATAAACATAAATAACGTAGGTCATAATATAATCTCTTTGATAGACACTACTTTTATTGTCTGTCTAGCTGGATGTCTCCTTTCACAACTCTACAGATATCCCTCTTTAGCTTGTTCTTCGCTCATGTGCAATTCTCATACTAACACTCACCTTCTATAGTTTTCACTAATACTGTGCTTATGTGGCCACATAACATGTTTTACAGAAGACTAGAGCTCCCCCGTAAATGAAAGCTATTGTTTTGTCTTGTCTAAAAAGTAAATTCTCCTATCAAAGAAATTTGTTTAATCTAGCTCAAATCATCTTTGAAAAACCCATCTTTGTAACTTATTAAGAGTTTCAATTTACCGTTGTAACATTCATAAATTTGAAAATTTTAGATTCTGCTGTGCCCAGACTAATAAGCCTAAATCACATCTTTTCCTTCTTGCTGTATTTGCTATTACTGAACTATATATAGTACCTCTATGTCAGGACAGAAATTGAAAAAATTAAGTAAGCTTGACTTCACCTTGAAATTCCACATACTACTTTTTCAAAATTCTTAGAATTGATCTGTTCCCACTAAAAGAATCCTACTAAATTACGTTTGTCTTGCTGCAGAAATTCGTATTTCCAAACCTTTACCTCTATTATATGTGTCATCTTCATCCATGCTGAGCCTCACCATCCTTATTGAGGCCAGCAGCTTTCCTTGTGTTTTGGCCCAATTCCTTCTGTAGAGCAAAAGTTTTGCTCTTCTCTTTATTTGTAAAGCTAACAGAAGTTTCTGAATTCTGCCTCTGCAATCACATTTCCAGAAAATAAAGGTCTTGCTTATTAGAGAGTTTATAGCAGCATGCCTGTTTTAAAAAAAAATCTTCCTCTAAAACTTCCCCTATTTTTGTCTGAGTAACAAATGTAGGTCATGTCCATTTCACTACTGGCCAGCTAAAAATCCTTTATACTATTGCTCTGCATGTATCAATAACATCCACTTTAAGTATGGGTAAGTTCCATATGGATAAGTTTCTATTTTAAGTATGGAATTGGAAGTAGTAAGCTTATATATGTACCCTTGAAACTTGTATGTGCAGTGCTGAACGGCATACTGAATTGAGTAATTTCCTCAAAAGACTAGTTGCTGTTACCCTCTGGGCTCAGTCAAATGTTGAACAACGAAGACCAGAGGACCAACCATGCTTAATCCTTAAGGGCATATACATGTATATGCACACATGCACCAGAAGTTCACAACTTCAAGAAATATGGAACTCTGTGGCAAGCTACATTTCAGGAAAATCTTTCTCAGAGAGCCCAAAGTTTGAGACAATAATTCCTTTTTTGCATCCTAGTACAAGTGTACTAAGTTTCTAAGTAAACTAAGTAAATAGTTTATGTGAACAATCAGAAAAGTTGTCCTGTAAACAACTGGTGGTTTTGAACATCAAACACTATAGAGCTAGTATTACTCTTTTAGCAAACTGTAAGGCAAATCTTTTCATTACACAATGGTCACAGCCAAAAGGCACATTACTTCTATGTGAAGCAACACACACAACACAGTTACTTTTAAAAATAAAGTTCTTCACGTTACATTCATATAAATCAAACCTGTTATTAATTCTGAGATGTACAGCTAGAGATGTCTCAAAAGTGTTACAGCAACTGTTTGTGGAATATTGCATTTACAATCATACTATTTTAATCAGCAGTCAATTTCTGTGCTTCTCCTCAACTAAAAAATAAAGTCCAAATACCCTAAAGCAGCATACAACTAACTTCAGGCAGGTCTCCTTTACACCATTTCTATTGAAGTCTGGATCACAGATTAAAAGAAAAAAAATAATGTATTGAGAAGTTTGTCATGCTCAAGAGAAAGTAAGTGAGGAGTAAAAATGCTTCAGGAAAATAAAAGCCTACACACATAGGGGAGTCTGAGAGGCAGAGTCTGATGAGGAGATGATTGTGCAAACTAAACTATCTGCAGTACACACTCAGCAGAGAACCTACTAATGACAGACTCTGCATTTTCCACTGTCCAAAATATGTAGAGTAGATACTCCAATTATGGATAATAAAACCAAGCTAAATAACATAACTATAACCCCATGAAACAGTTTCTTAAGCAGTAATGTATTTTACCCTCTATAAAATTAAAAGAACTACTTACTTATATCCTGAGCCCATTTTATAGCAGTACCAATGTCTGACATGCAGCCTTCAGTTAAGTAAACAACTTCTTCCCCAATCTTCCAACCAATCAGTGGATACAGATCTTAATTATTTTACATGAAATAAAACAAAACATCTAGGTAAATTAAATGATTCCAGAAAAACATACACAATAAGCTCAACTGAAAAAAGAGTAGTTTTTATTCAATTCCTTTGCAGAATGCAAGCTAAAAAAAAGGTCACTGATAGAGATTAAACGTATTGTTTAAAAATTTAGTCATGGAATTACAAGAGACTTGAACAACAGTTCATTAAACCAAAGTTAATCTGAAAATAAAAATCACTATAAAATTACAAAAAACCCTCTTTAAGCTGAAGAGAAGAGCTATCTGCACTTACTTTTTTTTTTTTTTTTAATTATAAGAGGTTGTATATACTTAAAAATCTGTCAACATTTTCCTATTTGTTTTCAATCCATCTAATTTTCCCCAATGGTTTGGAAAAGGTCAGAATTTACTTCCCAAAACATAAAACATGAAGGCTGGGCTTTCAGATGGGAAGCACAAATACTAAAACAGACATAGACACAAAAAAAAGCAACACAAGCTTAAGACATAGATTCTGTTTGTAGAAGATTATTAAAGCAATACTTTTTTATTTTTTCAATATGCAATGCTTCCTCACATAGAAAGCATAAAAAGAAAACAAGTTTCCCAATTTGCCCAATCTTGTCCCTAGCAAAGGCTACTGTCAGTTAACTATAGCATTCTACCTGTATGCTTGCCCAATATAAAGAACAAAACAAGGGAAAACAAGCAGCAGTGCCTATTTTTATTAAAGTTTGTATTTGTCTCTTCAAAGGAAAAAATTATATATGTATCTCCAGACCACTGGTGTAGGTCTCCCTTACAATCTTTATTTTCTAACAAAGGTGAAGCTGCAAAGCAGCCAGATCAAACAGTTCATTGAACCAAAACTCCTAGAGAAGGACAGCTAATTAGGGACAGACAAGTCCATTGGGTGGCCTTCCTAAAGATACTCACACCAGAATCTCTAGCGTAAGATAAACTACCTCTACGGAAGGGATCAACATGACATGTGACCAGCTGCTAAGAACTGTGAAACTGCTGGAGCAGTGGATTCTAAATCTATACAACATGTTTCCATCATTGAATTGTGAATTGTGAGAAGTACTGTTCTTTAAGAAACTTTTTTTTTTAAACTGTCATATATAGCAACTAAATGTAGATCAGAAACTAGAACAGCGGCTAATGAATAGCTTGCAAAAGGATGCTGTAGGGATTCATCTTGCAGTCTTAAATACCTATGTCAAATTTAAAGATTGAACGCATTACATTTCATGCCCAGGGCACTGAGAAAGCTAGGTACTTAACTTGTCCTAATAACAACAGCCAAAGAATATAGAGAAAATAATTTTGACATAAATAAGAGCCTAAAGCAGTAAAAGTTTCACAGCATTGCCTTAAAGATTTCAACTCCTATCAGATCACAACAGCCAAATATTTCTTAAAAGAAAACAAAATGGAAAAAACTTACAGTATGTTTTTGCTATTACATTTCCACAGTCTACATACATCCGATTTCCTAAGTAAAAGTACCATCATAATGACCTCATTAATTAGCCTAAAAAGCACGTGCATTCATAGGGAATTCAATGTCTGTGCTACTCAGTTCTGACACATCTCCTGTATTGGCCACAGTTCTTCCAAACTTTAGCTAGTAAAAGTCTCCTTAGCACAGTGCTGTCCTCCTCTGCAGACTCATCTCTCCCATTTTAAATTGTAGGTTTCCCAAAATTTGTAACTGTTTCAAAATATAACAGAGAGAGACTGTGCAGGCAAATATTAACAAACCTGACAGACCAAAAATGTCCTGAATGACAGTGTTTTAAATACTAGAGGCACAATGGGGACTCTAGTCTTGTTTTACAATACTCTAGTATTGTAAAAGAAAACTAGTAATTGGTAATCCTGTATTATCTCACTGCAGGTCCTTCAAAGCATAAGGGCTCAAGAGGAGGAACTTACAGTGATCCACTGCAACATTCTGATGTGAGAAGCCAGAGGACTTACCCTCTTTTTCTCCATTCCTGTACTGTATATTTCTATCAAGAAGAACAAGCGAAGAAAAAAAAAATTAAAAAGGAGGGCTGCATGTAGCAGACATAATTACTAGTGATGTCACTTAAATTCTCTTCTGGAGAAGAGATCTAAATTTCTAATTAAAAATTTCCAGTCTTCTGTTCTGAAAACACTTTAAGCTGGTCTTCTACAGCTAAAGACAAAAGGAAAAGCATAGCCCTCTTTTATCCCTCTTTGTACCCTCATCTTTGACAGCTGTTGAGTAACATGAAATACTATAAAACTAAAATTTACTTCGTGATGCAAAGAGATGCTCTCCAGTGTTCACATTCCAGAAACCACCTGTTCCCATTGTCAGTTTAACATCTCCTGGGTGAAAGCAGCATTCTCCAAACATGGCTGACTGCTGGTCAGCTACCTGCAGTGCCAACAAAAACAATACATCAAGTTTGCTACCAACTACCAACCTACAATGCTGCTGGATTTTAAAATATCAGTGAACAAACTTCATAGTCCTGAATATAAATACCATTCAGAAAGGAGCTGAGCATTAAGAGGGGACTCATACAATTTCTTGAGTATTTGTAGGCCATCCCACCAGTCAGATTTATCACTAGAATAAAATTACACCAGGTTTGGACACAATGTGAACATCTGTAATATTGCTTGCAACACTGAAAAATATGTTATGGAAACAAAAAAAAAATAATTTTATGGTTTAGTATTTGACAAGGATAAATGGGGCATTTGCAATCCCAGGGAGAAGAAAGTACAACTTCTGAGGTCTTACCTTCCTTTTTCCCTGCTACCAAATTATTTGTCAGTTTTTCAGCAGTGATTATGGTTATTAAATGTATTTGCTTATGTTTGTGCCTTGGTGAAACAGTAAATTTAGAGATAAATTGAGCCTACAATCCTTTAAAAACAGCAGGAGAAAGTCACATTAGCTAGATGACATTTTTTCCATTTAGCTCAATTCAAGCAGATTTTTCTGCAAGTCAACACTTTACAAAAATAATGCGTTCTTCTTATCCAAATCCTAACTACTGAGGCAAGAACATGTTATTCTCCATTTATTTGTAGTGAAAAAAGAAATAAAAGATTTCTACATTTGTGTAGAATCTTACTGAAGCCAAGCCAGGATGGACCCCATTGCACCACTTTATCTACAACAACTGATTTTAAGTTAGAGACACTTTACCAGAGCTTAGAGCAGAACCCAGCTCTGCTAAGTCCTGCATTCAGAGCTTAATCATTTGGTCATCTAACCTTAATGGACCTCAACCTCTAGAAATCCCTTCCTGTTCCTCTTTCCTCCTTCCCCTAAGGTTATAAATTGAGTTTTTGGAGAAAAATTCAACAACTAATTCTACTGTAAAGCCATAGAGAAGGAATAGAGAATCCCTACTAAACAAGCAAGTATTAAATCAAAGCTACATAAAAAGAATATAGGTACCAATATACAGATTTAAGTAAGAAAACATTTTCACTCACCACTGCCATTATTGGAATAGGTACCCCAAATATTTCAGAGTCAGTTGATCCAAAGTTGAAGCTTAAAACGAATGTTATGAAGAAACATCACAACACTAAACTGACCTTTTTATTAAAATGAAATCTAGATATATAAGGCCTGGGTCTGCATCACATATGAAAGGTAATGCTGCCAATTTATTTTAAAGAAAGCATTAAAACTATCACCTTAAGAAATAGTGATAGTAAAAATAAAGTTTTAGATATATGCATTACTTTGTCTATGCAGATTATGTAGTACTTCTCTAAAGGCTATTAATTTAACAGTTATCATATTCTTTTGAATATGTCATCATAGTTACCTTGTGTCTTTCACTGGTGGATACACAGACATTGGAATGGAAAGTAAATTACACAAAGTGGGGCTCCAACATTTCTGAAATTATGCAGAAAAAGTAAAAATGTCAGCAACTCTGTCAGAAGCACAATAAATAGCAACAACATTTTTTCGGAACAGCACATACCATAAAGGGTTCAAAAACACCTGTAGCACTGGCATTTGAGTAATCTGTAGCATACACAGAACCTACCATAAAAAAAAACCAACAAAGAACAAAGTAAGATTTCAGATATCCAGATATTTAAGAGTCACTTTAAACATACTTTTTCTTCAAATATCTCAGTGGCTCCCATGAAATACAAACTGAGTGTCTACAGGCAAAGTCGTAATGATACAACGAGCAAACAAACTTACCTGCCACTCACTAAAATGTGTATATATTCATTACCTTATTTTACCCTCAAGAAACTGGATAGGAGAGAGCAGGTACTTTTGACAACATGTACCACACTGACTGCATCACTGTCATAATCTATCCATTTGCTCAGGCATTAGTCCTCAGGACAGAAACTTGTAATTCTTCCACATTTGTAACAATTACTTGTTCTTTTACTTTCACAGGTACTCTTCTTCAATCAAGGACAATTAGTTCAGGTAGTCCTCCTTAAATCTTAAATTGGTTGACTGCACTGAATAATTATTTCCCTTTCTGACTACCCTTCCAGGTAGGCCCAAAGAATAATTAATTCAGAAATTACTTTTTTTAAACAGTACATAGATTACAATATTAATCAATTATAAAAAAAGCAAAAAATGTCAAAAAAGTATTTGAATCCTAGGATATATCCATGACAGTCATGAACATCCTTACTTAAGAGTCCAGTATGTTTTTTTAATATTTAGGAGGAACTGTAACATTCACCTTTAGTCAATCTATACAGTAACCACGTGTCAACTGTTCCAAAGCAGCAGTTATTTTTTTTGGCAGCTTCTTCAGCCTGGGAACAAATATACATACAAAAAAAATATTTACAACTGGGTACAATAAAGATGAACGTATTTCCTGATTCCTTTTCTAATTTTCTTTGTGGTTAATGATAGTGTCTGATTGCCAATTTTTCTTTTAAAAAGGGTGAGTCAGATATATAAGTAATTATTATTCTACAGTTCATGCTCCCAGCAGGGAACAAGCACAGTTTCTTACAGTTGCTGCTAAGGAAAGAAAAACAATTAATCATCTACTGCAGTGGCATCAGAGCCTTAAGAAGGTAAACTTTACAGTCACAATTATAACAGTGGCTGAAGGACTGGTGAATAAAGAAAACAAGGTCCTGCATACGGCACTTAAATAAAAAATTAATAGCAATAGAAGAAATAAGTATATTTTAAAATATGTGCTTGAGAACAATAAAGACAGAACCACTGTTTTCCGGTTTATGATGTCTGTAAAGAGTTCAAAATGTTATTTTTCCTTGGATTTTTTTTACCATTTAAAATGGAAAATTCATGTTTTATCTAATTTCTACTGATACTGTGTACAACTACAGAATTAATAAAAAGAACATACAAACTAATTCACTCAAAACATGACTCAACACATTATTCTCTGTAATTAAGAGCCATGAATTTCTGAGCTTCTTAGTTTGATAATCACATATTCTAAGTATCAGTGCCTGACAAATTGTTGAAGAACGTTCATCTCACACTGAAAACTCAGCAGCTGCATAACCTTCAATTCTATAATCCTCCAAATTCACACCTCACATTTTCATTTGGTTCAACCAAAACATGCCAGTAAAAAATTGTATTTGGCCTTCTCAATAGGTTTGTGACAGAAAATACCAGACAAAACTCAAAAGATTTCTGAGATTCTTTACACAGGGTAGAAAACGGATGATAGTAATTTTTGTTCAGAAATAACTTGAAAATTAACATAGAAAATAAGATTACTAAAGTTATAAATACAGTAGGAAGAAACAAGGAAAATAGTAAGGATTAGAGTAAAGAATACAGCAACAAATAGCTCAGTGCTCATTAGTCCATTAGATTATTCCAGCACAACTTATTTTATGTGTATTTTCCAATTCACATGACAACAAAATGCAAAATAAATTGTAGCATTTGATTGTTCAGTATATTATTTGTGAAACCTGAAATAGTGGAATAATGCAGAGTGGAAAGGTAAGACTGTCATTCAAAAATAAAAACAATTGTCATGCAAAACTAGAGTGCAAACAACTTAAAAACAAAGCACAATTACTAATTGTATAATTATATAAAGTGAAATGAGGTGATCTGATTGCTGCTTATGAATGAAGAAAGCTTTTTACTACTACACATTTCCAGAATCAAAGGAAAAAGTTATATAAACACGAATAGACATTCAGGTAGAGAGGCTCTGAACATTAACACAGATAAAAGCCTTTCATTCTGGTTCTTTTGAGGAAAAGAACAAACAAAAATGAAGAGGTTACAACCAACCTAAGTCACTAGCCATTGTTACAGCTTAAGAAAGCTATTTTTTTTCCCTTTCCAGCTTACCTCATGTATGTTTTTAAAAACCCATGATAACTTCATAGAAGTTTGTTGTGTTGAAAAAGTAAGAAAACTTGCTACCAAGTATCGATCATTCCCAGTCAAGAAATAAAGCACTGTAAAAATAACACGGATCACCTGTTTCAAAAGAAAACAGTTACTTAATTTATAATCTCTCCCTTTAAAGGTTTATGATTATCTTTAAAGGATGACAACACAGATGGAAGTTGCTGACATGAGATTACATTCAGAAAACTAAAATTGTGTTAGAGGATCCTTACACAGGATTTCAACAGATAGCCTTCCCACAACAAACACCACAGGAAAGAGCAGCTGCATCAAGTTTTATTGACTTGTGCTGGCAAACTGATAGAGACTGCTCTGCATTACCAACACAGGTCACCTATAGGAGCACAACGCATGACATAGTTCATAGCGTGAAATACTGTTATTCCAGTATAATTTCTCCTACAGTAGACAGGCTCAATCATGTTTTACTAGATTAACCAAAATTTTATCATTTATCATTAATTCTCAAAATAAATCAGTGGCAAAAACAAGAATTTAACTTCTTATTGTGGGTATGCTAGTAAGTGTCAACTTAACAGGAAAAGTAACTTCAGTTGTTCCACTTATGCTTTTAGGCCACAGCACGTTATATTAACATGTTAAAAGGACATTTCCAGTATTGCACACATTGCCCTTACTCGTCATAAAAATGGAACAGTTCTAGTATGTCCAAGCAGTATCTAGCTTTGCACAGTTTTACCTTCAGCAGAAGGGAGTTATTCCAGGAATTCACATGTTCAGCACTTCTTAAGTCTTGCCAACTTATGAAATTATGAAAAGGTTTCCCTGTCCTCCTGAAAAACAGTATTTGAACATTCCCATTTAAAACTACCAAACAAACAACACCCCCAAAAAAATCAACATCATTCACCATTTCCAATCAGGACACTTAACACTAGGTCAATTCCTAAAATAAGTGCATATCCTCCTGATGGATTTGAGGAATCAGTAATAGGCACATAGACATTTTGAGTGTGAGGCTTCTCACCAGAATTAAAAAATATATATGTATTTATCTCTTCCAAAGTACGAAGAACAAAACAAAAAGGACATACACTTATAAACTGTTCTGAACTGCTGTAAGGTGCGGCTGTACAAACACAAGAAAACATGAATGACTGACACTTGTTTTCAGATTGTGACTCGACTTGAGTTCAACATTTCCACAGCTTGCTTCCACCCAGTCTACGAATACAAATTAGTACGAGTTCACTTTAAACAACACACAATATACATACTTGTGCCATGTAATGAAAGTCGCTCTCTGTGTTGAGATGCCAAGACCAGCAATTTGCTTCATGTGAAGTCCTGCAGCTAAAAACCAAAACCAAACCACACAAAAAAAAGCATTTATTGGAGAGAAAAACAAAAATACAACTTTTCCAGTACAACTATAACACCTATTGAATACTTAGGAAATTAATAATTTAAGAGAATGCTGAATCTCTACAGACTGGCCAACTAAGTGGCTAGAACAGAGAAATATGAGAGAACTCCATGTCGGACAATTGATTCCAAAGCAGGTAAATAAACCCATGTATTTTACAAAAGCAGTTGTGGCACACTGATCCTTCCAGCTTCTGAAAGGCTCATTGATATTTTCCTTGAACAATCCCAGAGACAGGCAGGTAGGTTACATATACCTATACAATCAAGTAAAACGTGCATTTCAGATGGATGAATGTGAATGAAAGCACAAACAGATGAAGTACCTTCACAAACTTATGTAAAGAAATTCCATAAAGAAACAAAACTAGATTGATTCTGTAGGCAGTAAAGAGATTAATGTCAATATGCCATGATTTTTTACATCACTTTAATAATCGCATCTCACCTTAAATACCATATTGCTTAAGCAGTCTTTCAAAATTCTTAAGAACAAACTTGCTTAAACTGTGTGCAATAAAGCACATTTCAAATTCAGAAGTATAAAAATGTACGTTCGGGTATACATCAATTTTGCTGTTAAACCTTACCTTCAAATTAACTGTTACAGAACACTTTTTCTAATATAAGTAACTGTAAATAATTACATATGTCTATAGCTACTTTCAAAGCAGCTCTGTTCAGCTTCCCAAATATCTCCATACATGCTTCCAGAAGCAAAATTATGTGGAAAAATATACATGAAGAAATTCCACTTCAATGATAGATGACCTATTTTGTCCAAAGTACTATTTCTCTGAAGGGCTCCCAATCCCACCACTTGAACAAATCACAGGTTAAGTAGGTCCTGCTCATACACGTTCATATGTTAACTTTCATGTGCAAATTTGTTACTCATTTGCATAAGTATATACTGCAGACTCTACAACTGACAATCTGAGTGACAATTACAGAAGGGGTTTCATACAGAAAGGGCATGTCTTGCTCTGCAGACCTCTACATGTGCCTCTGCACCTTCCCTTATACTGGTCCTTGCGTTCACACAGCCAGTGGTATTAAGGCCCTCAATTAACTGGAAATTAAATCAGTGCTTTTGCAAGGCTACCTGCTCCACCTGTCTGCACAAATGCTGCTGGTAGTGGGAGCACAGAGGAGGAGGAGGACCTGGGAGTGAGTGGCTCGAGAACATTTCTTTTTCAGTAGCAGCTAGGTCTAAATTGAAGGCAAAGCCATACCAGCACGTCTGCAGATCACTGTGGATTAGAGTGGCAGGTCTTACTCCTCCCCATCTCCACAACCTGCACGCTCTCACCACTTTCCCTGTGTCAGCCAGCTGTCATGCTCTCTAGACTCCTATGTGAGCACATCTAACTTCCATTAAAGAGAAACAAAACAGAAGACAAAAGTGGATATTTTTCAGCTAAAGCTGTTTCCTTGGAAGGGCTGAACCAGTACCACAGTGACAGAGGGGTGGGACCATGCAGCCAGAAGCAGTTTCTACCTGGTAGTTGGTAGTACAGAACCACATCAGCTCATCCACCCATGCTGGAATCATGTTTTAGCTTCACAAGCCCTGTAAACTGAAGTGCTCCTATGCCTTCTTTCTGCTTCTACAGTCATTCCTGTCCCTGGTACCACACCCTCTCTTGCGCTGGCACAAATATTTGTGACGCTCTGCTGGCAGAAACAACCGCAGTGATTTGACTCAGGAAACTGCTGTGAACTTGAAGCAACCCTGTAAAAAGAAGTGTGGGACTGCTTCTTTTGACACCAGTGTGGGCTTACACTCAATTACACAACCACTTAAAAGTGACCTGCCTAAAGCTCGCGTAGCTTGGCAATAATAAAAGCTTCCCCTTTTAAAAACTAAATTTTGCTTCCTGATTTGCCCCACAGAATGGAAGTGGAAGAAGACAGTAAGATCTTTAGGGGTTGAGGCAGCATTGGTTCTCTTCTGATAGAACACTTGTGGCAGCTGAGAAAACAGAAAAAGAGCCCAAAATAATCAGCTGCAGCTTACACCTGGTAATGGTTACTTTCCCTGTTCCCTAAGCTGCCTTCCAAAGGAACAGACAAGAGCAGCTTTGGCTTGAGGCAGGTGTGGAGGCAGAGCAACATGTGGGAGACCAGGCTGCAAGAGAGGCTGAAGAGGAGGAACTTTAGGCACTGAAAGAAAGAGGACGATGCACAGACACGTGACAAGGAGGCCGGGACACTGTGAGAAAGTGAGCTGGAGTGTAATTGACAGGTCCCTGGCATCAGTGTGGCACAGAAGGCAAACTATGCTGGATTGCAGAATGCTGGAACTAGTACAGTGGGAAAGCTGTGGGAGTTGTGGAGAATAAATTCACAGATAGAGGATAATCTAGAAAAGGGGAAAAAAAAACCCCAAACAATCAGAATTTTGGCAGAAAAGGGAGTTGTGTTTGTGTTTTAGTGTGTGGAGTACTAGGAAACGTTAGGCTAAAGTACAAATAGGAAAGAACAATAACACAGAAATTGGATGCTAAGAACTGTTTGTGGTTTGAATGGGGAAAACAGGAATACCGGGTTGTTATCAAGCAAGCACAACTAGGCAGCATCTTGCTTTCAGCACATCCTGGCACACACAAAGGAGCAGAACAATGGGGAATCAGAGGAGGAAACAAGTCTACTCTCTACACAGAGGTATCTGGAGGAAGGAAGACAAGCTGGGGAAGGAGATAGTATACAAAACGCTGGAGCAACAAAGCACTGTCACTGACATGTAAATCGAGTATGCACACTGCTTCTGGTTCTTCTTCAATCCTAATCTGGCCACACTGAAAGAAAAAAAAAGTAATTGAAGGCTGCTATTTTACATAATGATTGAATAGGCCTTAAAGTATGTTGTAGACCCATGCTCAGTACAGAATTTTCAGTACTTTTAAAAATAAATATAAATAACCTTATTATCTAGTTAACTAACAACTAATTTTGATGAATAATTTAATTATGTTCTCAAATTTTATGAGCTATTACCTTGTACAGCCTCTTTTATTACATCAACAAACTGACACCACAGCACTTCAGGATCTAATTCAACCCAGCCAGGACGAGGATAAAGTGATTCCACCTGTTCACAAAAGATACACTGCATTGTTACGATCCCTACTTCACAGAAACCATCATTCTTGTGAAAGTTGGTGCAAACACATTTGATTTGCTTTTTTGGTTCTTAATTTTCTGAATCTACTGCAAGAGAAGAAACAACAGTGTCACTTTTAAAACACAGTGCGTGATCTCTAGAAGACCTCCTCAGTTCAGAGGGAATAAAGAAGCCCAAACCCTCAGGAACTGGGGTGCCTGTAAACTCTTTCTGGGGCTCCAAACTGGAATCCAGGTTTCTCAGAGAACCTTTTGTCTCTGCTGCTGCACTTGGACATTGCTGCCTCTGAGCAGCTCAGCAGCAGCGGGGCAGGAGCACTCGCCAGCCGTGCTTCCAGCGAGGGCCAGCGCCACTCACACCATCGCCTTCCGTCGCCGACAGCGCCACAGATTTCTTACGCTTCCTCTCGCTGCAATCTTTCCACTGCGATAGCTAGCAATAAAAAAGTTAATTCCGGAGATCGTATTTGATCCCAACATCACAACCTGCGAGCGTCCTGAAATCCGTGTTCGTGAACTTTGGTTCTCGCTTTTTTACCCAGGGCGGCCATATAATGGGACGTGTGCAAACGCAGCTCCTACGCCGAGTCCCAGCCGGGCCCCCCCAACACGGGCCGT